TTATTCTTCTCCTTCTTCTTCTTCTTTTTCTTCATCTCTTTTGATTATACGGCCAATCAGTATTTTATATATATGATGCATTTGCATGTGACTTCAGTTTTGTCTATTGTACATTTTAAACTGATTGTAGTGTACGTTATAGGTAAAACAGATACTCTAAAGAAAATAATATAAATAAATGTTGTATCAACATGTACGTATATTCTTATAAAGGCAGACAGGACATTATCTTCGAACATTACAAACGAGCCGGTTGTCAACGTCTCAATATTAAATTATTTTCCAACCTATATCTGTATTTATAATAAACCGAAGGAAGGAAATGCTCGTCAAATTTTCATAGAGAGTACGCAATTAAAAAAGTTGAATAATATTTTACAACATTTTCAGAAAATCTATTATGCGATGTTGTAAATGAAACGAGATTTTCAATAGACGTTTAGTAAAATTAAATACTTCCAGGCAAAGTGCCACTCTAATCATTTTCATACTTTATAAGATGATAAAATGACTCGTTGTTTTTTTTATTTTATATTCTTTTCTTCTCTCAACAAGTTCATAATCCAATTGATTATTATCAATATTATTATTGTTGTCACATTAGTCTCAATTTGGCAAATGTTTACGATCATGCTTATGATAATAATAATCTCGGTACCGAAGTGTATGGACTAAAAACAAGAAATGTAGATTACAATTTGGATAAGCAGTAACCGTTTCAATACGACATTACTCTTGAATGGCACCAGGGGTATGCTGGCATCTTTCTTGACTAAATCCACGCGTGCCGTCTGGCCCCCTTGGTTGTCTAACTACTGTTAATTTAGGACCTGTATCTCCCAAAGATGTAGTACGCAATCGGCTGATCAAACGTTCGGGTCGTTGTTGGACTGAATCGCTGTACAATAAATATATAAAACATTCAGGATGTTGATTTAAATAAATACAAAATTTTATAAAATGAAATTATATTTTACCTTATTCGTGTTACATTGCATGCAGAGGATTTACCAGTGCGTTGATTCGTAATTAAAACGAATTCAACCGGATCTCCTGGCTGAAGTATCGCATGGTCTCGAACTTGACTCATGTGAAAGAATAATTTCTTACCCTCGTCAATCTCGTAGGTAAGAAAACCGAAAGGACCTTTCACTGCATCCACTGTTGCTCTTCTCTTTTTTCTAACTGCTACAATATTACAAGCATGACCTGCTGAATCCACCTGTAGTTGTACAGGGTCACCGGCCTGTAGTAGTTCACGTTTATTAACCAGTCCCATAATTCTAAACTCATATTCCGGAGTGTCTTCATCTTCGTTAGTAGCGTTTATCTTTATCAGACCAGCATACTCTGCCTGGTCAGGATTTGCACTTCTTAGTGGTCTTACGACCGTTCCATCGAGCACTTCACTAACTGGTATTGGCCTAGGAATGCTTCCACGAGGTACTAATTTAACGTAATCCGCGGCAACACAACCACCGTTACCTCTACCGTTTCCAGAACTGATTATACACTCAATATCAGCTCCTACTTCCAAAGCACTAACATCTCCTTCAAAATTGCTAAAAAAATAGCGCATATATATTAAATACAATTTTGTGGTAACAACAGATTTTAATTTAAACAAAAGTGTTTACCCGAAGTGAAAAAATATTTCTTTATCGTGATTTACAGTCTCAATAAAACCAAATCCATCTTTGAGAGCAGCAATGAAGCCCTGACAAACTTGACCGTTTATCTTTTTATTACCATTCTGAGTTTTTTCACCAGAAGAATTCACTAGAGATATGTCAACAGCAACAAGTACTTTATTTCGTTTTACTTGACAGATACTAAATTGAACCTAAAACATGTTCGCAATTTAAACAAAAAAGTATTTAAGAATGTTTTCATACCGGAGAAAAATAATAATATACCTTGTCATCTACTTTTGGAATATTTTTTGAATCACAATCTTTGGTAAAGAAAATAACACTCTTTTGTTGATTCTCTTTCGTGTATCCGATGAGACCAGATACCAAACCATTTCCGCCTTGAATTACAGTACCCACCAAATCTTTTTCTACGATTGTTTCAAATTGAACTGTACCAGGCGGTAAATGTTTCAACCTAATTGCACTTTGTCGATTACTCGAAAATGATGAAGTGGGATCCTATTATGAAGAATAATAATAATTTATATTAAAATTACAAGAACAGTTAGAACATACTCTTGAAATAAATTATACTTACTTGAATAACTGTAAACTCAACTTCATCTCCATCAGTAATTTCTCTATCAACATCAAGAATTTCGTTGAAATGAAAGAATAGACGCCCATCGCGATCTACACAACGAATAAAGCCAAATCCATCTTTGAGAGCAGCAATAATGCCTTGTTCTCGTCTTTCACCAGACACAGTAAAAGATTCAGGTAACAACATTATTTCAGTAGCTCTTTTAAGTTGATCTCTAGTATCTGTAGCAATACGAAATTGGACCCAGTCCCCATGTCTAAGGAAAAAAAATCCCTTTGCTATTATATTGATAAAATATGTACCGTTAATTTGTAAAGACATTCTAACATATTTTACCTGAGAGTAAAATCTCCTTTTTGATCTTTGTCACCAAACGGAATTTCAACCTCAGAATGATCAGTATCTCTATAACGAATTCTTCCAGGCAATGGATCATTTTGATGACGGGCTGCAGTGCCTCTTTCTAAAGACTTTAATACCTGCCCCTTTACTACTTCGTTGCTGACTTCTTCAAATACTATAGAACCAGGTGGTAACTTAGTAATGTTACAAGCTACTTCTTTTCCCTGAAAAATAATAATAAATTAATTATTATAAAACACTAACTAATAGCTTCTTCTATAAAAAAAAATATCTATGCTTACATTTCGAGTTTGTATTATAAATTCAACATCGTCTCCTAGTCTAAGTTCTTCTTTCATAGATTTAGCTTCACTAAAGTGGAAGAAAATCTCTTTAACTACGTCAGCACGTTCAATAAAGCCAAAGTTTTCTTTCATCGAGCATACTACTCCACGATAGCGAACTGGATGTACTAGATTTTCCAATCTTACGTGACATGCACCCAAATTTCCACTATAATTAATTTTTAAGCTTTGTATTAACTTTGTACTTTGTGTCCTTAATAGGTATAACGAAAAAAATAAATTATATACCGTTGATTAGTAGCAATTTGAAATGACACTTTATCTCCAGTACGCAAAACAACATTTCCTTCTACATCATCTTTTGTATATGGCAAAAAAAAACATTCTCCTCTGTTTTCGTAACTGATACGCCCTTGTGAGTCACCGCTCGCATGCAGTTCCGTAGTTACATTTCCAGTGACTCGTTCTTCGCTTAGCACCTATATTATTTAAGACTTTACAAATCTGTATATTTAAATATACTTTTTTTTACCAAAAACATGAAAATAATGTGTTTGTTGTACTAACCACCTCTGGTGAAATCTTACTGACTGTACTAGCAATAGGTTTTCCTGTTCGTCGATCATAAGTCATTTCAAATTCAACTGGATCGCCAATTTTTAAATGTTCTATGTTACCACTAAATTGGCTAAAATGAAAGAACAACCTTGCTTGCCTTTCACAGCATTGTATAAATCCATAAGAATGCTAAAAAAAGAAAATGAAAATGATATGAAATATACGTGATATGAAAATATATAACTTTATATAAAACTGACTATGATAATAAGATCCTTACTAATAATTTTTCAATAATTCCTGTTTCACGTGTCCCTTGGTTAGCAGTCTGATCCTGATAAGTGGAATTATTTGTTGACGGCTCTTCTGTGTAACCAGTATTTCCTTCCATTCCAGTAAATGTTCCAAAAGGAAATCTGCTAACTTCGTTACGTGATGTTTGGGTATTAGTGTAACCTGCATAGTGTATATTATTTTTTCCATTTCCAGGAGGTGAATCTGTCATATAATGGTCACTACTGTAGTTGTTACCATTTCGGTAGATATTAGTTGCTGATTGACGTGATCCCGTTATAACTTTGGGACTTGGTATAGCCACGGACTTATAATCAAGTATTGCAGGGTCAGAGTTCATGATTGGCGGCTGGAACGATTTCCACTGAGGATTGTTGGACATTGTTTCAAATTCGCACAATTGTTAAATGTAATCTTTACGTATAAGTATTCCTCTTTTCTTGAAACAATTACTTAATTTCTTTTTATGTTCACTTCTGTTTCACCACAATATACATTTACTTATATTTAGAAATTTTTAGTCTTTTCAATTATTTAAGTGTTAACATAGATATCACAGAACGGTTCTTGGTACCTTATATCTTTGTTCACTATTATAATGTTACAAGAACTTAATACAGAGGAAGAGAGGCTCTTTAAAATGCTGTGGAAATTCAGGCTCCTTTGTGACCAAGAAGTGGAAGGAAGGATTTGAACGTATTTTGACGTATATCATAAATTATTCATCTGCGAGTACCTCGACAACTCTGTGCGAAATTGGCACTCTTTTTAAATACAAATACAAGTGTGTTTTATTAACCAAAAGCAGCACAATCTCAGCCGCAATCACAATCACGGTCACTTTATGGCTCACCTACTTCTTTCTCACAAAGCTTGTGTACACAATGTATAAATGAACAATATAGTTAATGTTGATTTACGAATTAATACACGTACAAAATTCTTAGCACATCATAGACCATTGATACTTTCCACATATGTATGCACGAGTGTTGTAACGACTGTTTGATATTTACTCAATTTAGCATATATTAGAATAACCGTGTTTCCTTTTAAACAGCAGTCATCCTTTTATAAAAGGAGTAAATCAAAAAACATAGGAGATTTAAAGGATAAATGTTGACTTGAAAATCCTCAGATGTCTTCAATGCGTGCTGAGTGTGATTGTGTTGTTCCGATATTTCTATATTAGCGTTTCCTTCTTCAGCATTTAATTGTGAAATTTACAGTGAGCCTTGGTTTCAAAAATGTCCTAAACTAACAATTACACAAGCTGAAATAAAAGAAATTTACTTATTTTAATATATTCTATAAGTTGTTATGATTAAATATTAATGGATATTTAATTATAATGATCACGAGCTTTTCAACATAAAAATTCTAATGAATTACTGCATCACTTTAAAAAATAATGTTTACTTTTCAACAGTAAAAGTACCTGCGATAAATATAACTTTTAGTTACACTTCGTAACTTATTCATTTTATTATATGGCAAATTTGACTAATTACTTTTTAAAGAGTTAGCCATTAAAAAAAATATATATGTACAATTTATAAAATATTTTATAAAAGACACATAAATTCGTATTATTTTATGTCACTTTTAAATGCAGCACACTTTTGTCATACATTGTACAATTAACTCAAGTAAAAAATAAATATGTAGTGGGAGTACTGTCTCAGTTGCACTTATAGGTTATTATATATTTTGAATTTTACATTGATATGAATATTAAAGTATATAAAATAATTCATGCTATATTTATGATATTTTGTGTACGGTTTCATATAAGATAAACAAAATATTCGCAATAATTGAATGCCAGTTTGACATTGACTTTTTATTCTCCAACTGGTACTATTCTCTCAATGTTTTTTACCTACTTCTCGAGATTTTACTCGTCCCTTCAATCATGTTTACCGATGTTGAATAATCAATCAAGGCATTATTGTCATCAATTTATGATTCAAATCATAATTCTCGATCTTTACTATAACTCAGATAGATTACTTGAACACCCACATGAAAATGTTAAATATATGTAACGATGAAGGTATTGTAAGTATATTCGGAATATAACTAAATGCATATCATTCCGCTAATCTTTTCATTGTTTGTCTCAAATTCAAAACAACAGTACGTATTTCCAGAAGAAAAGAAAAGAAAATTCCGAAATATTATATGTGTTTGCCAGTTATGAGTTTCTAATTTTTTTATGAAGTCGCTCATTTCTTTGGGTATCGTAAAAATTGATTGAACTTCCGCAGACTTATAGAATATAAATATTCTTAACGGAGAGCAAATAATTCTGTAAAATCTAATTGTTTCGTTATAAAGCTCGTAATCGAACGGCTTTAGAAAGTTTTATAAAACTCACCACGACACAGCACAGCACTGACGACATGCCGCCATGTTGAATGTCAACATTCAGCATTCACATACAAAACAGGAGCAATCACAGAGCAATTACAGTTAAAATCTCAATTCATAGCCTTCTAGTGATATTGTAATAAAAAGAGTTACTACATATTTGTTTATCATGTTACATGTAAAAACAGTCGATAAAAATACAACATATTTTGAAAACTCGAGTTCACATATCATGAAAATAAAAAGAAAAATGTGATTTCAATAGTGTTTTTGAATGTATAATGGAAGCGTTAACTTAACGCTAAATACGTTTAAAAAGTTCTTGTTTACAATGTTTTTTTAAATAAATAAAAATGAAAATAAATTTTTTAAATTTAAAAAGGAAACTAATATTTTTATGTAACAAAGTTAATTGATAATGATTATAAAATATTAAACAATGTAACAATAAATAAACTAGTACTTTCAACATACATGTTCTTTATTTTTACATTCATTTTTCAGATCCTCATCATTAGTAGTATACAAAGTAACTAGTTATTTATAATTTACAAATAAAATTTGCTTTAATAATAATGATAGCGACAATAATATAATAATAATAATAATAATAATAATAATAATAATAATAATGATAATAACATTAAATAAATTTTTGCACATATTATTAAGAATTTAGTTTTTGGGATGTTTCTGTATTTGATGGTCTTGAGTATACACCAAAATAATTTAATCGACGCCAGCGTAAATCTTCAGGATCTGGTGTTGGTGGAGCAGTGACACATTCTAAACTCAATTGAAGAGCTCTTCGTAAATCATCATCTTCATCTGAGTCATTAGTTATATTTGTTGTATGAGTTGCTTTCTCATTATGTAAGTCTAATCTCAACTTAACCGACTCATCAATATCATCTTTATTATTATTTTCTAAACTTAATTGTAGCGCCCTTTGCAATTCTGCATTTTCATCATCATTTTCTTCTTTACTTTCAATCCTTATAGGTATTATCCTTTCTTGTGGCTTGCTGTGTACCGTTTCTTCTTTAGATGTTGATGGTTTATTATAAATATTCGAATCTACAATACTAGTATTTCTCAACAAATTAGAAGGACTTGGTACTTTTACTTCTCCCAAAGCAAGGGCAGCTTTTAAAAGCTCATCTTCTTCTTTAACACCCAGACGATAACCTTTCGATTCTGTTTTTAAAGGTGCTTTTCCTTTTGGTACAACCACTACTGGATTCTTCATAAGCGCATCGTCTGCAGGACATTGAGGAAGTGTACCAATAACGACAAAGATAGAGTAACCTATTAAAAAATACATTTCGTATCTAACATAGTTCCATTATTATAAGCTGTATGCTTCCAATATATTATATTTACCATCTTGTATCAATTGAGTTAAATACATTGCAAGGTAAGTATCTGATATAAGTTGTGGTCCACTTAGCATTGAATTTAAATTGAACCACTGTTTCCCAATTTTCCGTATAGTAAACCAATGGCCTTTATAATTACATATGTACGCTTTCATCTGTCTAAAAAATCATATGTTTCCTTAATACACGTTCACGTAAAATACAAGTTACTACATGAAAAATGATAATGAATATAAATTTAAAAATCTATTTAAAAAATTGAATCTCTAATATAATTTTGTTTACTACAAAAATATATTAAAAGATTCTTAAAACGAAAGTGAAGATATGAAGAAATGAATAATAACCTACGAAGGATCTTTCCGTGCCATCAATGCTGCAGATTCTGTACTATTATATGGGACTAGTTCTAATTCCAAAACTTTCAATGCTCTACTAATAACTTGAACAGAAAAATATCCGCTATCGTCCATATTTCCTGACGGTTGCTAAACAAAATAATATCTTTTATCATATGTAATATTATTTGTACATTATTATAATAAAATCTTTCCTTTTTAATATTTAATAAAGTTTTAAGAAATCCAATCAATGTTTATTTTATATAGTACACTTGATTCGTTTAATTCATTTTTGGTTTTCCAATCTATTTAGTTTAGCTTGTACTGTTTACTTTTGATCAAACATGTTTGGTTATTATAATTATTAAAGACAAGTTAGGGGCTTTCATGTATTTATGTGAGTACAGGATGAATTAAATGAGTCGGGTGTACATTATAACAAAAGAAATACAGTAAAATAGGTATATCTACCTCTAGAAAAAGTCTGTAATCTTCACTATCAACACCTGATTCTGCCATCCTCATTCTTTCCTCTTTATCCAGTTCATGACCAAAACTAGCGAGATCTACTGCATTAAAATAGGGTCCTTGCAAAAGTGCATTTAAACAATGTTGCGCGCATAAATACCCTTCTTGCTGTAATGCATTTTCCCATTAATATGACATAGACACGGAAAGATTGTTACCATTTGTTGCGCATATTGTTATTTACCTTTTCATGAAATATTGTTTCCATTTTATCAGTATGTGTCCGATATAATGTGTGAAATATGCAGACATTAAATAAAGAATAATTAAGTTATACGTCAATCAAGCTCAAAAGATTTCTACGACTAAACGTCATCCACAAAAATATTTTTTGGTTATAACCAGAAGTATAAAATATATAGTGCACCGTGTTACTAGACATTACGACGCATAACTATAGTACTACCATCTTACAACACATTTCATAATTAATGTCGAGATTACACACGATTGATAAAAATTGTAACTAATAAATACAATTTTAAGCGTCTGTAAAGGTACAAACTATTTTAACGTTATCGAAAATATATTCTAAACGTGAATACAAAATAACCGATTGACCCTATATTTCCATTAAAATAATTCTCATTATACAATATCTATCTTTGCATTATATAATTATATTGTTCCGAGGCTCTATCTTAACTTTAATTAGTCCATATGAAATTAATGCCATGCATGTAACATTCTTCGTTCACCGAGGAATATTCAAATACATATTACAAATCTGTTAAAGAGAAACCTTAAGCTAAGTATAAAATACTCGACGGGCCGTACATCGGGGAGCACGATGTAATCTCTAATCGCTAAGAAGCTTCGGAAACTATAAAATTATTATTTAAGGGCTTTGGCCGAATTTGAGCCTCGTCTACTACCACGGCATAGAAAAGGATACCAAGTGTCGGGGTAGTGAGTGAGTGAGTGAGTGTGAACGAAGGGGATCCGAAGAAAAATTGAAAATCGCGACTTCGCCGAAAAGAAAGGCGTCTCGTGCACGCGAGTGTGTATTGCCGGCATAAGCGCGATCTGGAAGGAAGGTTGTGGTGTATTAGGGATTGCGACGGCGTCGACGACCTGTAGAAGACGACACCTGCTTCGCTTGAAACGGAAGACCGGAGAGACACGGTGACGGTGGGGGCGGCCATACTCAAACAACCGCCGAGCGAAGTGCACGGCACAGCGCAGAAATGAGACGATAATAAAACCGTATTATACCACCGGAACAACTTAGGGACGAGGTGTAACGGATGTAAGTGCCTCCGTTCGAGACGGGAAAGAAAAAAATCCACGGAAGGAAGTGAAAACGGAAGTGCGAGAAGTGTGACAAAAAGAGGATAGCGGCCCGACGAATCGAGGCGCAAAGGACGATATGAGTGCGAAAACGGACGTGAACAGGCGGGTCTTAGCAATTCAGGCCAAGAAAAAAAGACACAAGCCAAGCAAGAGGAAAGGAAAGGGGAATTCCCAGGGTGAATCAGAGACACCAGGAGCTCAATGCTCGAAGGCACCATGCACTCAACAAGAACAAGAGATAAACCTCGCAAAGAGGTATTCCGATTATCTTTTATTAACGTTATTTCATTTTTTGTTGACTTCTCTGGCTGACAGTTTGTAATTAAAATCAATTTCGGATTAATAAGCGACGTTGTGGAGCTGTTTGTTGTTTTACGTTGATGAAACGCTACTAATGAACTATCAAGTGTTTAACAACGAATGTGTTTTAATGTTCTTGCGTCGTGTATTCCTTATCTCTTCTATTGCGAGAAGTCACAACCGAAATTAACTTATCTTCAACGGAACAGAGTTTAAATTATAGAATATAATAAGTATAAACAAAGGCCGTAATACTTTGAGGTATTTAACGAGTCGTTTTCGTGAAACGTGGTATGTTGAATAATATATAGAAAATGTTAAAGAAAGTTTGGTTTTCTATCATTTCAGAAAGAATCGGTTTAATTCAATTTTAATCTGTATTCTTTTAAGGTTTGGAAAAAAGGAAGTCAGATTTGAAATAAGTACTTTTCCTTTTTGATAAATATAATTTCAAGATACAAAATTTCAAGTGACAAGAAGGTGTTTTTTCACGAATGTTTAATCTTTAACGTTTTTTAGTTTGCTTATTTAAAATTTTCTATTTTGGATCTTGTATTTCTTAATACCATTACTTATTTACATTCGTTAAGTATTGTGTTTTTGTTTTTCATTTTCTGATTTGTATTTTTTTCTTTTTTGTTTGTCAGAAAAACTTTGAAAGAAGATTTCAAACTTCCACGTTTTCACTCGTTAGATGCTCTGAGGTAAGTGCTACATGGTCCAACACAGTTCCTCCAAGAACAATTTTCTTATTCGTAAGATAATACACCGTTGGATGTTTATCGATTCTAACATTCACTTGCATCTTTGAAATATATATCACTGTGGTAATTGATAGCTGGATGACTCAAAATGATTCCTAGCTATTGCCTAATAACAGTTCTGATTATTTTTATTTATTCTTAGTCAAGACCGCACACAGACTAAGACCCTGTCGTAAATCTCTCGAAAGTTAAATGGCTATCAATGTCCATTTTAAATAAAACACATTAACTCTAATACGTTTTTCAACTGAAACTTATAGAACGGAACTATGTCCTAGTTCGAGTAATGAAACAATAGAGGACGATGACGAATTGCACAGTAGTGAAGAAGAAGAGCAAGAGGACAGCAATGATTATTGTAAAGGAGGATATCATCCAGTCAGAATAGGAGATTTATTCTTAAATCGTTACCATGTAGCTCGTAAACTTGGCTGGGGCCATTTTTCAACGGTTTGGCTATGCTGGGATTTACAGGTATATATATAACTTGAAATAAGATATCTCTGTGATCATTAAGTATATGAAAATAATATGTTAAAATATTTTCCACAGGATAAACGGTTTGTGGCACTTAAAGTGGTGAAGTCTGCAACGCATTTTACTGAAACTGCATTGGATGAAATTCAATTATTGAAAGATGTGCGTGATACGGATCCTACTGATCCTAAACGCAATAAAACCGTCCAGTTGCTCAATGATTTCAAGATCAGTGGCATTAATGGTCTGCATGTTTGCATGGTATTTGAAGTGCTTGGACATAATCTTTTAAAACTGATTATTAAATCCAGTTATACAGGAATTCCAAGGAATAATGTTAAACGTATCATCAGGCAGGTCCTTGAAGCACTTGATTATCTTCATAATAAATGTAAGACAAACTTGAAAAATTTATTAAATATTTATTATTATTAGCAACTGCATGAGAAATTAAAAATTTGAACTTATTTCAATGTAATGTGAGTTTGAAGCTTTTCCAAATTATTTTTAAAAAATTTTTCCCAATATTTCATTAATATGTTACATAATATTTAGACAGATTTTTATGCTTTTATGGAAACTCTGAAAGTGCAAAGTATCTAAAGTGCAGTGTCTTTTATAATATTTGTTAGGAAAAATCAGTTTTTTTCTTAACTCTATTTTTTGCATTCTAAAAAATTTGAATTTGCATAAACATCCACCATCTATTAATATTGAAATAAAATGATGTTTCAGAATATTCATTTATGTTTCAGGTAAAATTATTCATACAGATATTAAGCCAGAAAATGTTCTTATTTGTGTTGACGAAGCTTACATACGAAAGTTAGCTTGTGAAGCTACTGAACTGCATTCTTTAGGAATGAGATTGCCAGTATCATTAATTTCAACTGCACCAAAGGAATTCCAAGAGCCCACTCGTAACTCCAAAATGTCAAAGAATAAAAAGAAAAAACTCAAGAAAAAAGCCAAACGTCAAAATGAATTATTAAAAAAACAAATGGAACAAATTGAGGAATTGGAGGAGCAAAATAAAATAGCAAATAATACAAGAGAAAATGGAGAATTAGAAACGAATAGTCCGGATCAGGATATAAATACAGAAAGTATAGAAGATAATTCTGAAAGCAAAGGTTCACCTGATATATCAGAACCGTCAGCGCCTTCATTGCACATAAATGGTGTGGATAGTCTAGGAGGAGGAGAGAAAGTAGAGAATCAATTACCCCAACAACCGGAGAAGATGGACAATGCGAATTTATGTGATGTAGAGAAAAGCTGTGGAGAAGGAATGTTACCACCTGATTATGAAGATACAGATGAGTGTAGCGAGGGTAAAAATTTTAAATAATTATTACTTAATTAATTATATAACTCTCTCTTGATTATTATTTGGTTTATAGGCCGTAATTTACAACCACCTGATAGTAAACAATTGAAACGAACATCCGTAGCTCCCTTAGATCCTGCCATAGTGGAATGTGACGTTGAAGTAAAAATAGCAGACCTCGGAAACGCATGTTGGGTCAACAAAAAATTCACAGATGATATTCAAACCCGTCAGTACAGATCATTAGAAGTGTTATTAGGATCAGGATACGATACTTCTGCGGATATATGGTCCACTGCTTGTATGGCATTTGAATTGGCGACTGGTGACTATCTTTTCGAACCACATAGTGGCAAAGATTATTGCAGGTAAGAAATTAGTATTATTGTTTATTACATATACGTTTCAACAACTTTTACTCTACTTCTTTTTTACTAAAATCGTGTATTATTATAGAGACGAGGACCATTTAGCTCACATTATTGAATTACTTGGAGAAATACCAAAACGTATTGCACTTTCTGGCAAAAACTCAAAAATGTACTTTAATAGGAAGGGAGAATTAAAGCATATTAACGGATTGAAGCCTTGGGGACTGTACGAGGTGCTTACAGAGAAATATGATTGGTCACCGAGAGAAGCGCGCGAATTTGCAGAGTTCCTAACTCCAATGCTTGAATTTGACCCGAATATGCGAGCTACAGCAGCAGAGTGCTTGAAGCATCCGTGGCTGCAAATCAAAAAGTGATCGAGTTTTTTATCGTTTTACCTTTAAATTTTTCAATTTTTACCATCCTGATATAATCATAAGTCGAGAGTGTGACAAGAAGCAACGACCTGCAGGTGTCAGGTTCTCTTTCATACTATATACAGTGCTTCATTTCTAATATAACGAGTGCATTATTATTGAAAACGCACACAATGAAATTATTTAATATTTAATATACATGAGCGAGTTGTAATATATAGTATAATGTATACATATACATACGCATATAATATGTTTACGTATGTATATGTATATTGTTATAGAATGGAAAATAATTAGGAATCGAACTTATAAAATGTTACCATTCAGAATTTTTTAATCTCTTTTAAATGCTAATAATTTGATACAATTCTTATTTGTGTCCGAATTAATGATACGGGTAATTTCAAGTGGCGAGGGAGAAAAAAATTGAATTATAGATGGAAAAGGAGCTTTCTACATTTCGCCAAATTCCGTAAGCAGTTGGGTACGCTTCTGGTTGTAACACTCTCGACAGTGGCTGCCTGTTTGTATATTTATAAATTTGTTAAATCATGTTTTTCATTTAGTAATGATATCTTAAATTAAAATTTCGTAGTACTTTATTATTTTACACGATCATCATTGGATTATCCTTCGTACTTGTCACTTAATTTATCAATAAGTATCCCAAGAGTCATGGGACCTACTCATAATATACTTTTAAGCAAGAACAGGCGCAATGTTAAATTTTGCGTTACATTAATCGATTTGGGAATTCGTTAATAGCTGGTTTTCCATTGTGATCTCTCTTTGTGCTTAATTAATGTTCGAGAAGATTTAATAACGATTAATATTATTATGTTGATACTAATTAAAATGAAAGAATACTCATTGCACGTACGTTGAAACGTGTGTTCAAGGAACTGAACCTTTGTACAAATTTAATGTATGCAGACATACGTGGATGGTTTTAAGAGTTGGTCGCCAGATTCTTGGTAGAATGGTTAATACAATATTAATTACGATTCGGAATAAGACAGTGCATACTTTATTTGTACCAACCTAAGTCACTATAATTTAGTCTACTTAAATATTATACGTCATCAAATTTCAAGCGTTATAAACAATAAATTCATGTTTCAAATGAAACAGGATATTTGTAATAATATTATTCTATATAATTCAATATTCGCGAAAATACCTTATAAGTATATGTATGGTGTATGTATAAATACATACGCGCGCGCGCGTGCGCTATATGCACACACATACATACACTGTCTGATTTCGAAGAACGATCGAGGAACTGATTATGGCACATATTTTTGTTCAAGTTACTATAAGTTTCTTTATACTAATAAGGCATAACATATACATAATGTAAAATCACGGTAAAATGAGGCGAGTTTCTAGATTGCGAACGATACTTTTGATTAACATAAAAATAATATTGTCATACGTGGATAGAAGTATATGTGATGTTATGTTCTGTGCGACCTTTTCTTCGAGCTGTTGACTGACTATTGAGCTCTCTGTCGATAACTTGTCTTCTATTTTATAACGAAAGCGAAACAGTACGCTCACTGGATATTCGACATTGCAAACCTACATTGCACTGTTGAATTCTATTTTATGCTTCCAAACGAATGTTCTGTTTCGCTTCGCCTGCCAGTTTAAGATCGTTTTCGCTGGGGAAAAAAGGTATTATCAATCGAAAACATTTCATATAAAACCAAGGTGGAGACGCATATAAAGAATACTTATCAATAGCGTTGCATTGAGTAGACGGTACAATTTTTTCCGGGTAAAAGAGGATAATCGCGTCGCGTTTTAAATTAAATGTAATTTTTGTTGAGAAAGGTTAATGAAATTAATGTATATTTAACGCAATCGTTATGAAGATTACACATGTACTCTGTCTTAAAAAAGAAGCATTTACAAATTACAATTAGAAAATATTCACTTTTACAGTACATATAAAACGGGGTAGCAAGTAAGATGATCACAGTAAAATTTCCCTCTGTTCTTGTATATATCCTTACATAGTGCTGTCTACGAACAGGTCGGTCCCTGTCGCACATGTATTAATTACGTTCACTTGTTTTTCTGATTCTACAAGTATAGAATTCTCAGAATTTGGTTACGGACAGCACTGTTCTATGTGAAAAGTGCCTCTTCTACCCGTACTATGGTGTATAAAATTGTAATCAGAGAAATACATAAAAAAAAAAATATCATGCTCTAGGAACTTAAACGGTTCTCTCTTTGTTTCAGACTATACTCTTTTAACTTTTCTTTCTTATAATTATGCGACCCCACCATAATTAACGATTTTGGGACTGATGATGGCAGTCGTGTTGAATTTGTACAGTACGCAATGGAAGTTATATAGTAGATATGCATATTATATATGTATATATATATAATTATATATATATACATATGTATACCGGTATTATTTTATGAAACGCGGCCAGTGAAATCCGTAGGGGAACGGATAAGAGTACAAGAGCACAGAATGATCGCAGAAAACATAAAACAATGGAAATAAGGAACGCCTTGGAACATGTCTCGAGCTTCTCGCCTGACCGTCCTTTATCGCTGATCTATCGACGATCGTTACGCCATTGTATGTCAACAATAATTTTACACTATCGACGTGAATGTATAATAAGAATGTTAATTGTTATCAACGACGAAGGTACATCGTGTTAATAGCGGCGAATGCTAATTACCGATTATGCAACTAAGATCCAAGTTGTACGATAAACGATCGATCGCTTTCACCGGTATATTAACGGATTTCAAGAAGGCGCGATTTCATCGCGTGACCGGACATAACGATTATACATACGAAAATGACACACACACACACACACACACACACACACACACAGAGAGAGAGAGCCAAACTGAATGATAATTTACGTAGGTGTGATTCGCTGCTTGGCGCTAGGGTAGTTAGGATGAAATTAACAAACATTAACAGTAAAAAAAATGTGTATAGCTTGATGTATGAGAGATTCCTTACTTCCGCCTATCTTCACTTACCCCCTACTGCCTCTGATGGTAACGAGCAAGATCATTGTATTCGTAAGGTCAAAATCCCAAAAATTCAATGCACGTTCTTCTCCGTCGACAAGTGACAATGATTCACATTGATATATAGAATGCGAAGGTCAGACAGAGATTGACTCGATTTCAAGAAAAAAAGCGTGGTTTGCATAGGGACCTACGTACAAAATCCGTTAAGTGATCCATGTTTTCATCAGTGGGATTGCTTCCATACGCTGTGCGAGCGCTTCACGGAGGAAACTGATTCCGATGTGTTGATTCTGCAAATCGCAGTTTATTAAA